TAATGGAAATAAATATTGCTTTGAGGTTAAAAAAAAAAGGTTATTAAAAAAATAATAAATCAGTAACAACTCATCTCTTTATACAGCATAAATCCTTGGACACAGCAAGAAAAACATTTTTGAACAACAAGATTCCTATTATTGGGCTGTGCCTGTGGCTCAAAGGAGTAGGGTGCAGGCCCCATATGCTGGAGGTGGTGGGTTCAAACCCAGGCCTGGCCAAAACCTGCAAAAAAAAAAAAAAAAGATTCCTATTATTTACTGTAACCAGATCAACAAAGAAAAACATTTTTGAACCACAAGATATCTGTTATTTACTGTAACCAGATCATACCAGGGTAGAAAAATAGCAGCTATATATTCCAGTATTTGTGGTGATGAGATTTAACTATCTTTATTCCTCCTTTTAGGAAGGGATAGGAGAAACTATCTAATATCTAAAGTTTTTATTGAGCATGTTTTTATTATGTTCTATGTTACTCAGTCATATTTTCTTAAAAATCCATAAAAACATTAAATGGCCTATGTTATGTATTACCAGTACCCTGCTAATATAGTGATACATTCCTTTTTAGTCCTTTTGCTGTGCCAGTAAAAATATTTCTTTTGTTTGAAATGATACTAGAAACATACTTGTATAGATGTTTGTATTCTGTCTTCATTTAATATTCTTTCAGGGTATTATCCCAAACTTTTGACCATTCATTGAAAACATGAATTTTTTTTTTTTTAGTGAAGTTTTTTTTTTAAATTAAATCATCGCTGTGAACATTAATGCAGTCATGGGGTACAATGTGCTGGTTTTATATACAATTTGAAATATTTTCATCAAACTGGTTAACATAGCATGGCATTAACAATGCCAATAACTAAGGCATTTTCTTAGTTATTGTGTTAAGATATTTATATTCTACATATAGTAAGTTTCACATGAACCCTTGTAAGATGCACCATAGGTGTGGTCCTACCAATTATCCTCCCTCCACCCATCCTCTCTCCCCCTTTCCCCTTTCCCCTGTTAAGATTTTGTCAGAGGTAACTTTACCATAGTAAAAACACTTAATCATGTTTTAATTGGTAGAGAGATTGTCTCAAAATTGTGGTGATATAAAATAGTCCTGTTGTATTAAGATTTGATTATTTCTTACGACTAGGCTCCTGGAAGTAGAACATACTGAGTCACAAGTTATTTATATTTGAAAACTTTTGATATATATGGTAAAAATTTACATTTTATAAGGTTGCATTAATTTATATTACTATCAGCTGTATACAAATGTACTTATTTTTCCAACGTACTTGCCAAATGAGTATTACCATATTTAAAAAATTGCTGATTTGGTTGACAAATAGTGCTGTTTTAATTTTTTGTATGAATTTATCATCTTGTAAAATATCTTTTAATGTTCTTCATTTTTGTACTGTTGTAGTTGGTTTCTTACTGAATTATGGGTAGCCAATTTCTGACAGTTTCAAAACAATTAGATTGAACTAATACATAAAGATAATGAGTATTACAAATATAAAATAGCAAAAAAACCATTAATATTTAGTATAGTCTGAGTTCGTTTTTATAGAATGAAATATAAAGTCACTTTCTAATTTCAATTTCTTATGTTTATTTTGTGTTTACTACTTAATAATAATCATAATCTTAAAAGTCTTGTGTGATTTTTTAGCTCCAGCAGATCTGCAAAATTATGAATATGCATATGGACTCTATGCAGTGGATTGACCAGAATTCAGGTGGGAGTTTATTTGTATACCAAGCTCTGTGTATTACAAGGAGAAAATGAGATATAAGTCAGGTTGTGTGCTCTGTGACCAAATTAGACTTCCATTGTAGGCTGTGGCTTAACTCACAGTATATCTACATTAGTTGTGAAAAATTATAATTGCTTATTTTTATAATATGAAACACAGGACGGAATAGAAATTAATGAATATAGAAAGTGGATAGGAATAGAATATAGGGAAGCATGGATAGAAGCAAAACTTTTGCGTGTATCTTTTTATACAGTTTTGACCTGGGGGTCATATAAATGTGTTATAGACCTAAAAAACATTATAATTAAGCCAAAAATAATGGGAAGAAAGACAAATACTAAAATTGAGTGCATACTGAAACCAAACAAATCTATATTACTAATTTATAAAATAGTTACTGAGTTCAGGTAACTTTTAAACATAGTGTACATGATGATGTGTCCTTACTAGGATGTAGTCCCTAAGGATAAAACTTCAGGTAACTTTTAAACATAGTGTACATGATGATGTGTCCTTACTAGGATGTAGTCCCTAAGGATAAAACTGCAAAGAAATCTTAAACTTTCTTAATAGTTTCATATTAGTTTCAGAATTATAATGCCATTATGACTATCATTTCATATATATTATAGAATAAAGCAAATGCATAAGTATATTAATGATAATAGTCATCAAGATTTTCATTAAAAGATCAAAAATATACAAGTTACTAGGTAGTTTTACTTTGCTGGAAGACTCTTGTGTTGATCTGTGTACATATGGGTCTGAGTACTTCCAGGCAGGACAGGTCTAGTAGTGACATATTTCCTCAAAGCTTATATGTCAGGAAAGGATTTGAATTCTCCCTCAAGTATGAAACTTAGTTTTGCAGGATACGGAACGCTAGGTTGGCAGTTGTTCTGCTTGATAAGACTGAAGATAGGAGCCAATTCTCTTCTGGCTTACAAAGTTTCTACTGAGCAATCAACTGTTAGCCTGATGTACTGATGGGTTTACCTTTATAGGTGAGATGCTGCTTACACCTGGCAGCTTATAGAATTTTCTCTTTCGTTTTGACTTTGGCCTGAATAGTTCCATAGTGTCTATGATATTCTTTGTTTGAACTGAGTCATTTTGGAGCATGCTAGCAACCTTGTAACTGTATGTCTGGGTCTCTGGCAATGTTTGAGAAATTTTAAAATATGTCTCTTGCTAGAGCTAACATGATTTGGGACTGTTTTCTTCTCCTTTAGGGATATCCATGATTCATCATATCTATCTATGATTTATACTTTATATAGTCCTGTATTTCTCTAAGAGATTTTTCTGCTTTTGCTCTCTTCTTTTCTGCTTCTTTAAATGATGTTAGCTTGAAAATGTTCAAGTTCTGAGATTCTTTCTTCTCCACGGTTTAAATCTGTTGCTGAAACTCTCTGCTGGGGTTTGTTTGTTTGTTTTTTGAGACAGAGTCTCACTATGTCACTCTCAGTAGAGTGCTGTGGTGTCACAGCTCACAGTAACCTCAAACTCTTGGGCTTACGCAATTCTCTTGCCTCAGCCTCCCAAGTAGCTGGGACTATAGGTGCCTGCCACAACACCCAGCTATTTTTGCTGTTGTTGTTGTTATTGTTGTTTAGCAGGCTGGGCTGGGTTCAAGCCTACCAGCCCTGGTACATGTGGCCGGTGTGCTAACCACTTAGCTACAGGCACCGAGCCTCTGCTGTGTTTTGAAACTCTCTGAAAGCCTCTTTTAATTCTTTAAGCTCTGTTATATCCTTCTTAATTGTGTCCAGATCTTTGGTGACTTTGTCTTTAATTTCATTGATTTCTTGAGACATTTTTGGAGACTTGTTTTCTATTCCATTTGTCTTATTTGCCATCCATATTCTGAAATCCACTTTTGTCATTTCAACAGTTTCTTTATGGTTGGAATTTTCTGTGGTGGCTCCATTATGATCCCTTAGGGGAGTTGATCTGTTCTGCTTTTTTCATGTTGCCAGAGGGGTTTTTTGTTGGTTCTGCCTCATCTGTGGTTTCTTTCTTGTTTTTCTTTTCCTTCTATCCTCCTCTTCCTTCCTCTTTACCTTTTCTTACCTTAACTCTAGGCTATTGGGTTGAGTTGACCGTATTTTCCCTGCACTGACTTCCCTTCCTGCTTCTCTCTTCATTCCTGGTGACTCATGCTGTCACTCTGTGCTCTCATAGCACTATTTCTGAGTGGGGCAACCTTAAATTGTGGCATATATTCATTTTTAAAATGAGAGATAGTATCTATTTTCTAGGGGGTTTGTAAGGATTAAAAGAAAGCAATGTCAGTAAATGGTAATGGCAAAAGCATTTACTGGTGATCAGAATTTACTATGTATATGATTTGGGGGTAAGAGAAAAAAACGGATCATGTGATTTATAATGTAGTTATTGAATTGAGTCTAGTGATGGCAATTCTAGGTAGATTGTCATTAAAAACCATTTACCTAGAGCAGTTGCAACAATAGCTGAGATGAGGGAGAATGTCAGTAACTGGTAAACACTGAGGAATTAATTTATATAAAGTTTAACTTAGTTATCTTTATATATCTTTATAAAGTTTATCTTAGTATGTCTGTTGTATGCTCTTGTGTAGTCAGCAATGCTTCTTGGGTAAGGTGACCAGAGGTCCTGCTTTTGGCAGGATAGTCCCGATTTTTAACAATTTGTCCCGTGTCCCACAGCATTTTTAAATAGTCCCAATTTTTGGAAAGAATGCATGACAAGCTAGGGAACAGCAGGAATGGGAAGGGAGTATACGGTTTTTGGCTGCTGAAAAGGTTAATGTAACTCCATTTGGGAATGAAGAGGTTAATGTAACTTCATTTGGAAATGAAAAGGCTAATGTAAACTCCCTACTCCCCTTCTGGGCAAGGTATCAGAAGGAAACTGGCTCCCTCCCTTGCTTCTAGGCAAGGACAATTAGCTCAGAAGGAGCCAAACTGTCTGGAACAAACAAGTAGCCCCCCCCACCAGAGTAAGGTGACCGGACATCCTGCTTTTGGCGGGACAGTCCTGATTTTTAACAATTTGTCCTGTGTCCTGTGACATTTTAAAAAAGCCCCGATTTTTGTTTTTTTTAATTTGTTTTTTATTAGATCATAATTGTGTACATTAATTCTCTCATAGGATACAGTGTGTTACTTCTATATGCAGTTTGGAAAACTCTCATCCAAGTGGCTAACATAGCCATCATGTCTTTCTCATAATTGTTATGTTAAGACATTTATATTCAACCTTTA